AAAGAGTGATGGGGGCAAGCATGGGACACACAGAAGTTGAAGGGAGCCATTCTGATCTAAGGGCAGTCCCCACTAAGCTATATGCACATCCTTTTAGGGGAAAAAAAATACCAGAAGACCTCTTTCCTTTCTAAGCTTCTGAATGATCCATTAGCCAGGTTTGTCAAAGTTTAAATATTTTTACAATAAGCTAGAATAACAAGTTATCTCCAATAACTTTGGGTTTTTCCACTTCGGACAGCATGAGAAGAAACACTCCAGTCAAACATGAGCTGATTTGCATACTATTGCAATTCACGTCAGAGGCTGCCATGCCATCACTCTGCAGATTGGGTTCTGCAGTAGCATAGCCAGCTCTACCTGCCCTTTGTGGGTGTTTTCTCTTCCTTGCACTAGTACATGTCTTAGCTGGTCTTGTAACTGTCAGTACTGCAGCATACACCAAAATGTGTATGTATTATTTGTACACCTTGAAAAGAAGGTAATTCTTTTGAACAGAAAGACAAACATATCTAACTGTGGCCCTTACTTGCTTATCTCTCTCTAACACCTCTGTGGAGGCGCAGATCTCCACCACTTCTCCCCAAACACACTTCCCCTGTAGCAACACCACACCCAGGGCACAGTTGCTCAGAGTTCTCCTAAATCAGTTTTAGGACAAAACAACTGGGTTTTAACAAACTAAATTTCGCACTAGACACACAAGATTTGTATGGCAAAGTCTGAATTATTTTCAAAATTTTACAAACATTAACTTTCATTTTAGAGCTTTGGTAGGGGGTGGAGGAGAAGAGTAGGAAGATACAGCAGGTTGGCTATCTGCAGTATAAATCCTGGTTTTCCAAGCAACTCTAGTCCAGGAAACTTTATGCCCAGAGGCCTGGGTGCCCAGTTTGCCCCAGAGTCAATAAGAGTGCTGGCGAGCCTCCCTCTGTTCTCACAGGGTAAGCTAGTAAGAGCCTGGTCACCACGGATTCCCAGCTTTGTTTTTGCAGGGAGACTTGCAAGCAGCTCAGCTCTCTTGAGGTAGGAGAAAAATGGTGTTTCTGTTAGCTATGCTGCGTCTCCCAGTAGAACACGTAACTTGGCCTCCCAGTGTGCCCAAATGGCAGAAGCAGAATACATGCATTGAGGACAGTACGTAGAAGCCTGGAAATGCCGGTGGTTTCTGCAATTATATTCCTATGACTTCTGTTTGGTATATCAGCATTTTGGGGATGTCGTATCACAGTAATACAATGTGATAGCAACAGGCATACCAAGGGAGGCCAGTGACTAGGCACTGCCAGAGAGGATATCTTTCGTAAGGGTCCCAGCTGTCTCTCCTTGCTGACAGGATCAGATCTCTTATGGCTAGTGGGACTTACGTGCATAAGCAAAGCCTGCAAATTCAAATCCAGTGTGGGTTGCTCAGCAGCACTGCATACTTCCATCATTCAAATGGCTGTGTGCCACCTTAAAATAGAGATCACAGCCAAGCTTTTAAAATTAAATATAAACTAAACAGATATGTCGTCCTGAGATAGTGGCTGTAACAAGTCCTAAGTTAGATAAGCTTCCTGAACCCAGAGGTGCTTACTCTGCTAAGTACATTGTTTTATTTTGGCAGGCCTGCTAGCCTCTCTTGGAGCATGCTGCACTTCCTAATTCTCTTTTGGAGGGGGGGCAGGTCTAGTGAAACAATCAGTTTGATGACTGCTACCAGCAATTCCAATAGCATTTCTTCTGCAGTTCAGATGATAGCATTCTTGATCCTTTACCAGTTCTTCTAAGACTTGCAGAAACAGGCTCACAGTTTCCCTTTTTATTTTTTTTGGCCAGCCAAGACCTGTGTGTGTGCCCACAACGTACTGCTAGAGAAGCAGCTGTGCTGAAGGTGCTCCTCAAGATAGGGGAGAAAACACCAGTAGGAATCAGACAGAAAGGAGACAAGACAACAAGCCACAACGGAGAGAAGAAGCTTGATACAATGACCATTGTTCAGAGAGTCGAAGACCATGTATTCCAGTTCCATCAATACATAGTCTGTTTTGAGTTTCTGACAGCAATAGCTCAGAGTCAGACCTTTTAAGCTCAGGGGGAAAACATTTTCAAAAATTCTCTTTGCTTAAGCACTATATATTCAAAACAATCCTTTTTATTTTTTCAGTATTTTAGCCCTTAGTTGGTTAGTCACTAATATCTGTCAGATGCCTGCTGCCATAAAAGCACTCTGAGCACCTGCAATGTTTGTAGGAATATAAAAAAATAGCTTTAGGAACTAGGACTTACACAACACAGGGAGAAGGAAGGACTAACTAGATTAATGCAATATGTAGTGGATTGGTTAACACGAAAGTGTATGAGTCGTCGCAGAATCATGCCAGAAAATGGTACCATGTAGCTTACTGGTAAGGGCAGTAAAAAAGGTAATGCATTAATCATCAGTGAACCACTCAGGCATTCAACACACTATTTCTAGCTGAAATCAGAGATTTCAATTTAAAATGCCATTCCTCTATAGACTTACAATTCTCTCTGCCTTTGAACTCTACTGTGATGGCTGCTTCATTAACATTGTGGTTCCAGTGCAAAAAAAGAAAATCCTCCAGGTCCCAAATCTTTCTTTATACTTTTGATTGCTTTCCTGCTTAGTGTTCTGTAAAGCTTGAGTCTTCTGTTCATCTACCTGGACATAGTCCACTCTCTGCTCCTCAGAGAGAAAAGGTTTCTGTGAGAGAGAGAGAGAAAAAATCCAACATATTAATTTTAAGGTTGAAAAGAGATGCTAGTGAAAGTTGGCATGATTTTCTGTTTTCCCTTTCTCTGAAAGGGAAAACAGTGAAGCAATTCCCTGATTGCTTCACTTCACCTTGAACAGTGACATCAGCTGACAAAAGCATCGCTTTACAGCTTTTCTAAGCTATAATTATCCATCTGTCACCCTGTCACTCAACAGCAACGTGAGTGAGAGCAACGTGCTGTTCTGGCCATTTCCACGCGGATAAACATTCTCTTCTCATATGAGTGATCCTGCTGCAAGGATAAACTAACTGCATTTTAGCTACAGGGAGGGTTTAAATAAGAAAGCTTAAGAGTCTGGAGTATTTTTCATCCAGAAATATTAGCTCTTGGGAAAAATGATACACGGACATAAAATGACCCAAACTGACAACAGTTCATTGCTTTGCGGTGGTACCTACCCAACACCTAGTCAGGTTGTAAGTTCTTTGGAAAAAGAATGCATTTTATCAGCATTGCTAAGGAAACTGAAATACTTTTAGTGATGCAAGAATAAAGGTGCACATCTTGCCATGTTACAAGAGATAGTACAGTTTTATCCCATGAGTTTATCATGGGCTGTAAATGTGTTACTCTAAAGAGATTTGAGGGAAAACTAGCAGGAAAGGGTTTGTGGAAACTTGGTGAAAATGAAAGAGCAGGCAGAGATCCTGCAAGCAACAAAAAGCTTGCCCACAAACCCTCAAAGCTGCACATCTCAGCATAGCCTTTAGCCCTCTTCAGATCTCATATTAATGGTATCCCTATGAGTCACACTAAGGACACCTTGTCATCAGCCTAATAATGCTTTTATTACATTAATTTTGAGCCTGCCACAAACACAGACAGCTGGAAACACAACTGGCTTCATCATGATACTTATGGCACTCTTGGTCTTGTTTTCCTCCCAGCAGACAAAAAATAGGAGGCTGTTGGGTTTCACAGTTAGCTCATACCTTCTGTACAGGGGATGGGGAAGCAGAATTAAAATCCAGTGCTAAGTAATCAAGGTTAGATTTCCTTGTCCATGGAAAAGCACCATTGCATGGAGATGTTGCCTGTCTGTGTTCCTGTTGTGAAAAAAGAGAAACTTTTAATGGTCTTAAAACATGATCCTAAACGGAAGACTAAAACTGTGAAGTGGGAAACTTGTCCAATAGAATGTGAGAATGAAGGATCAACACTCAGGAATTTTCTATGCCAAGGGTGCGTTTGGTGAATCACCATAGGATAACTGATTAATTGTGGGATAACATAAAGAAACTGTGATAGCCTTTTTCTCCTGGTAATTATGGCAAAACAAGCACATCAGACTAATTTTCAGTCAGTGTAATCAGGAAAGACTTGTCCCCTGCTTCTCAACCCAGGCTCTTGGAAAACTCAGATTTACAGAGGTGCCCTCTTAACCATCATTGTTCTATGAATTTGATGAAATGATGATAATTCTGTTCAAATCAAGCAACTGAAAATTAATCTCGGGGAAATCACAGATGACCAGAAATGTATGGAAGATTTTATTGGACTAGAAAAATCAAATGAGGAGTAGTTACAACTGGAACTGCCCTCCTGAGCAGACTTTTTTCTAGCAGAGGTGTGGGTTAAAATTTGAGACTATGGTTCATGGAAATTGTGGTCAGTTTTGCGACGTATTTCTACAGCCATTGCCATCAGGCTTTGACTACAGAGAGATCATCTGTAGAGATTAACTCAGATCAAGGCAATCGATATCCATTTCCACCCAAAAAAAAGGAAACTGAGATTCTGGTCTTCTGCAAGATATGGCTAATAGAGTGAATGAAGAAAAGGTAGCCACAAAGTCAGATATTCTTCTTCCATAGGATGGGAAGTGGGATTAGTGCCACCAGCCAAAGCAGGAGCAATAAGAGACTTTAATAGGAGTTCTGTTTCTGCACAATATTTAGTGTGTTTCTTTAGGAAGCGCACTAATGACTTTGTCCTTTCCTAGGAGATTTTGCAGGGCACACTTTAAAAAGGTGACAAGATTTAATTTTCTTTGCCTTAATGAGTTCTCATGTAAACATGTCTGATCCTTGTGATCTCTTGGAACTGCTCAGCAACATTCGTGGGTGAACAGCTGAGTTCTGCAGAGGAGAAGAAGGGCTTCCCTTATCTCTCTGTAAATTAGTCCCAGTGTCTTTGGTTTAAAACTGTTCCATCATTTTTAAAAAAAACCAGAAGGCAAAGGACAAATCTCCTCAACACTTTTTCTTAGAAAACAAACTTCTACATTCTCCATCAATGTGACAGAGCAGAATAAAGCAAAGGATGGCTGTGTGAAAATGAAGATTACCATATGAATGTAACTTTCTTCCTCTTCTCCGGAAACTGAATTGGCAAATATTCTTGCTGAATTAATACCGTCTCTTTCTGGTGAGATAAAGCTCATTCGATTGCTATGAAGGAAAACACAGGAGAGGTTAAGGAAGCATCTTACAGATGCTCTGAAATGAAGCCAAAGCCTGACGCAGTCCGTATGGTGAATAAACTCACACTGATGCTGCAGGTTTTATGGCAAGGATGTCCAAAACCACTCCTTAGTTGTAGAAAAAGGGTGCTATATGGCTATGAATTTTTTTGTTGATTTAAGTTTGTCATCCCTGATACAACAGAAAATATAAAATGCTGGAGCAATTCTCCAACAAGGCGCACAGAGATATAGGTCATTCATTCAGGTAATATATGCTGATGGAGCAGTTATTTAGTTGTGCAGGTATCTGCATTTTAGAGACAGATGTGAATTAATCAGCTACTGGAGGTGCATGCAGAGGAGCTTGTCTGGCTTTGAACACAATGTAAACACATGCTATCTGTGCTATGGAAATGGCTGCGACAGCCCTTTTACAAGGAAATCTCTTCCACTAACACTAACACTAAAACTGCCAGAAGTATATCATGAGTAAATTATTGCAGGTACTGAAATAGTAGGTATTGCTAGCACAATGCTGAAATAGTAGGTATTGCTAGCACAATGAGGTTAATTATTGGGAAATTAGATCGACACTTTGTGCAGCATGAACAGCACGATTCCTTTTGCTTTATTAATTCCAGACATCTTTTTTAGTTTTGTTAATGTGAAATATGCAAACTCCCTCTGAGACCGTTATGCTTCAGGACTCTGCACTGTGTCATCACTAATTAACCGGAGCATTCTGGCAGGGATGCTGGGGAGGGAGGCTACTGCGTTTCCTTAACAGACAGCATGCAGCAAGAAGGGCCAAAGGCCTCAACCAGCTTTGGACTGTACAGCTGAGGGGTCTGCCTATCTCACATCCCTTTTGTCCTCCAAATAACTATCAGAGGCAAGGGAGTGGAAATGCCCTGTTTGGCACTCATGCTAGTGAAAAACTGTATTTTCCAGAGTGCCCAGGGTATGCAGATAAGGTTGGTGGGAATTCCTGGCTTTCACATGCACACTCTAGCACAACTGGGTTTGCGGTCAGTCTTCCCCTGTAGTGCCAAGATCCTCCCAGTCAGCAGGCTGTAGTACTTCCCTGCTCATAAGTTCTCTGAAGATAAGTCTTTCACCGCCCTTGTGGCCCAACAGTACCATCTGTTCATATTACTAGGGCTTTGAGACCAAAAGAATTTCTTTTACCCCACACCTAATTTCCAGTGAAAAATGGTCACACCAACAGGTAAGTCTGAATTGCTGTGTGGCAGTGCACACGTTTGCAAGTCAGGCAGTTCTGTATCTTGTCAGGTTCTCCTCTGCTGTATTAATCTTCATAAACAAAAATGGCTCTACCACTTTAAAAAATAATATTATGTCATGCAAAGGTTTTAGCTATTGCAGCAGCCACCACAGCTCCAGTCTTTTCAAAAGGAACCTTCAAAACAAACTGAGCATCACTGTGTGATGCTGAATATACTGGAGTTCCCCATTGTGAAGGGGAGCCTTGCTTTTTAGAGACAGCAAAATCCTGGAGGATGCTGGAAGGAGCCCTGGGGAATTTCTGTGGACTTTGCCAAGAAATTGTTTCTTAGGGGATGTGATAAGTTATTTTTAACTCCATTCCACAATGTTAATGATTGAAAGATTGGAACGGTAGGTTTCTTGTTGACTTACTAAGGCACAGTCCACATCCTGGTCACGGCAGCATGCTCCCGAATTGTGGAGAGGTTCCTCAAGTCCAGAGGAGGTGGCCGTGCTGCAAGTAGATATAAAAGGAACTACATTTCTAATAGCAGAGCTAATGAAAAGTACGGTTTAGACAAATGCAGGCTTCTATTAACAGCAAGAAACTAACAGAGTATCCGAGTATTTAACAGAACATAACTGATATAACCAAGTCAGAAACCAGTAAAAAATGACTACTTCAGTCAGCACTGGAAAGCAAAGTCCCTCATTTACCCTAAAATAACAGAATCACAGAATGTTAGGGCTTGGAAGGGACCTCAAAAGATCATCTAGTCCAACCATAAGGAGCATAAGGAGATCAAATGCTCCACAAGATCTGTATGCTTGCCTCAGATCTGCTCTGCATATGCTGCCTTCAGGAGGAAAGACCAGTTCAACCTACAGGTTAAAACAGGCTTTGGGCTCTCTTCTAGACAAAAATGTCCTACACACGGAGATGAAGATCATTCCTCTCACCAGTCAATGTATATTTTCCACTCTGTTCTCAAAAACCTCTAAGAAAGGATTTCTGTCCCCACTTCACAGTACCATTCCTAGAACTAATTTCTGAATAGCCTTGTGGCTTTGCAGCCCAAAGAACTTTAATATAGGCTAGGTTCAGGCAATTTCATCACTGTAAAGCTGAATTTTGTCCCCAGTGTGTCCTCTAGAAATGCATCGCAGATTTTGGAAATGCCATGGAAAGCAGGATTGGAAAATTAGCAGCAGTAAAAACATCTGCAGGACATTCCCAGTTACACCAAGACAGCTGCATCTACCCAACAGAGGTTTAACCAACAGCCCACACATCAAGTCTTAAGTATTTGAATGTTTGGATGTCCTGTTCCTGGAAGATCAGAGAGCCGGTGAGACAGCAGTACACATGCTTCAGAGCTGCAGGATTTAGTCTGCTGTCTCCAAAGCTATGTCTGTTTGGTCATCTGCAGCCCGAGTGGATCTGAAGCCATGCACCATGCTAATGCAGCCAACAAAAAAGACTGCAAAAGTAGGCATGGATGTTCTTCGTCTCCTCACAAACAACCCCTCAGACACATCCTGTGTTACAGTACTATAAGCCACTTACATAGAAATTCAATCCCTCTTCTAGAGCAGGAAGCACTTTAAAATGTGCTAAGGACACTATCAGACAAGGTCACCTGTGTCCCCACTATGAAGACCCTCTGGATGCCAATTGCACTTTAGGTCCGGACTTACATTTCCTACGAGGCTTGAGGTCTCGGTTCACAGGAGGGGGCTCCAGGTCCAAGGGAAATTCAGGTAATGGGCTGGTGAGTTTTTCAGTGCTGACGACAGGGAAGGTAAATGTGGCTGAGCTGGGGCTCATGGGGATGTAGCCATCAGGTGAACAGTCAGAGCCAGGCACAGAGGGACAGGTGCTGGGGCGCATGGGCACGTAGCTGTCCTCTGTGTTGTCCAAAGCAGTCGGGTAGAGTGGGGAGAACCGACAAGGCTTCAGAAGCAAAGGAGGAAAATAGAAATAGGTCAATAAATGAATAGTTAACCTCCTGCAAGCCAGGAGGTGCTTGGAAGCTGGGAACAGATCTGAGCCAGGCCAGCAGAGTCCTGATGTGACCTGAGAGATGCAAGCTGGAAAGACATAAGACAAATGCATGAGTTCAGAGTCACACTCCTGTTTTGGAGAAGTCTACTTCTGAGCTTCACAAGTCACCACTGGAATCTAGGACCAAACTGATTGGTGACTTAAGCAGGTTAAATCCTTCAACTTCAGTGAGGCTGCACTTGCCTCCCTCAGCAGCAATTCTGACCTATAAAATGAAAGAGCGTTCTTCATACAAGAAAAAAGTCTGAAAGGAAAACAACTGATGGACTAGATTTTTGCAAGTGTAGAAGCTGAGGGAGCAGACACACAGAGCCACAAGTTGCTTCTGATAGCTGAGAATAAACACTAGAAATTCATTTCATGTAGGTTAGCGCTGGCTGAGTGATGAGGACTGATTACAAGCCTTGCAGACTTTCAAAGGGGAGAAAAATGTAAGTTGCCCACCACCAGAGCTTACATACAAGCAGCAAAGGATCTTCCACACAGAGGACAGTAGCCAGCACCAGGCAGAAGACTGTCTGTGTGATGTGTAATGGTGCTACATATTATAACCATGTCTGTCAAAGTCTGAGTCAGGAAGTTTCAGACTGACAAAGCCCTGAATCACAGTGCTGTGAAAGCAGAGACTTTCTTATGTCCAAAAGAGGAGATATTCCTCAGGATCATGAAGTGATAGGCTTCTTTAGACCCTTTTTTCAAGAGATAAGCAATTTTCTCAGGTGCTCTTTGTCAACAGCTTAATTCTCAAAGCTACTAGTATCCTTTTTCACAATGGAGCTGGCTCCATCTGCTTTAAAAAGAGGGTGCTCGGTGTTGTGGCCACCCCCTCCCTCAAAGGCTTCCTGCAGCTGTGAAGCAGCAGCACAGAAGTTGCCCAAAGCTAAGTGCTGCTTTCATTTTGTTATTTCTCTGCTGATCACAGGAGAGGAATTACTGAATATCAGGATGTAAAATGATTCACTTTATGAAGTTTATCCTGTGATAGTGTTTTAAATTTATGCAAGCAGAGTACTTACCAAATTCAAGCTAAGCCTCTTATCCCGACTTCTTAAGGAACTGCCTTCCATGTCTGCTGTAAAGAAAAAAAAAGTGATTAAAAATGTGATAAGGCAGTGTAACTTCATAAAAATAATTCTGGAGTAAAGCATATGACTCTAAAATAAGATTCCATAATTCTGAGTACTTATCCTAAATGAGGAAATCCAATGACACTTAAGGCCAGAACTAACTCAGGAGAATTTCAAAAGTAATTACATCTATTTTAAGTACGATGAAACCAAGGAACGTGTTCCTGTATAATCCAGCTGTAACTTATGCTTCCTGTAACATAAGGAACTGGTGAGAAAGACTGATATAGTGTGGAGAGCAAGCAACTGAGCAAAAATTTAAACCCAGGTCCTGCTCTTGTCCCAGTCTTGAAAATTATATAAAAAAGGACTGTAGGAAATAACAATCCATTATTGTTTGGAAAGTTATTTAGGAGCCTTGTACATAAGGTGCCTGAAAAGCACATGTTACTGTACATAGAGTACATGGGAGAATCTAATGGTAGGAGAGAAATTCTTCTCTTTGGCACCCACAAATTCTGATGTGGTGCAAATGACTCAAGCTGATGGGGAACAAATAGCCAGAGAAAAGGTCACCAGTCACAGTGCCCCCTTGTGCAGGCCTGTCTGGGGTGTAGGTCAATTTTATTTTTGAAGCAAATTGCAAAAAAAATTAAATCCAGCATTCAGTGCACTGAAGATCAGTAGTGAGAGATCCTTTAGAGCTACCATCCTTTTCTGGAAAATGGTTTTCTGTGCAGAAAATGGCTTTTGTGTGGGAATGCCTTAAAAACTTGCAACCATGTTAATCCAGTCCCTGCTCTCACGGAAGAGATGTCAATGCTGCAGTACAACTGGCAGTCTTTGTGTTGGTAGTGGCATAAATGGCAAAAGTGTTAAAAAGAACAAAGCAATACTGTTAGTGAGGATATATGTTCAGATAGACACAGTCACTATCCTGCGACAGCTGCATTAATTTATTATTTTGGCAAAAAAGCACTCAGGCACAACACGTCTGGCAGATGCCAGGGTACAGGTGTCTTACACATGTACAGCTCCTTCCTCTTCATGGCATTGCAACCAGCTTCCTCTGCCTTTGCACTGGTTTAACTGCATCTGTTGGGTTTTTACAGGTTGCCAAGGGCAAAATATGAAGTAAATAATTCAAGTGGGCTCACTTCAGGAGTTGGTGAGGAACAGCTGCTTTTTCCCCTGATTCTTGCTCCAATCTTTCTTGTTAAAGACATTTTAATTCAGAGCTTAACCTTTCAAATATTTTCAGCTACACTTAGGGTAAGAAAAAAACAGCAGTACTTACTAATTCATTGCTGCCCCCTGTCAGGCAGAGATAACCTTGCAGCACAGTAGCAGAACATGACATTTTGCCACTTAATCCTCTTAAAAACATTTAGGTGTAAATTGGGTTGAAGGAACATTAACTGTCTCAAGTGTGCTGGTGGCACTGGAGCAGCACATGCACAGAAGCAAGAGCATCACCTTTCAAAGAGCAACCAAATATAACTGGTAATCAGGAATACCAGTTTCACTTATGGGTCTTTCTCCAGAAACCTTCTGAGAATTGTCTGTACCTTGATAAACAGGCTGGACAGAGGTCTCAAAAGCTAATGGCCCCAAACACTGGTTGCTCATTCAAACTACAGAAGTCTAAAGGATGTTTGTCCTTAAAATCCTGCATTTTCTTCCTCATCAGAAATGACATGTCATTGCAAAATACTCGATGATTTCTATCCAGGCATTCCAGCTGCCTCCCTCTGTTCTGTGGCTCCACAAAATAAAACTTTCTCATACTGCCTATTTTTGATGTTCTGGAATTTTGATTGTTATTTCTGTTTGCGATGATTGTGTTTCAAGAACAAGCGGGAAAGTCACCTTGGCTCAGAGAAGAATTTGCTTTGCAGCAGGTCTGCAGCAGGATTTCAGGCTATCCTGAAGGCTAGACTGAAATGCAAGGACAGAGTGGGATTTGCTCAAGGACACGGGGAGTCCCTGGTTCAACTGGGATTACCTCCCATCCTCAGTATCTTTTTGGCTTCCTGTTCTTTACTCTAAGCTGCAAAAAGATAGGCTTCTGTTATGAAAAAGGACTAGATGGAGGAAAACAGCACAACTAGAAAGGCATTTCCTATGTGCAAGTCCACATTTTGACCTGCATAGAGAGTATGGCATTGCTCAACTCAGCTGCTGCCTGGCTTTTAATTTTTGGTTTTCTACTGCTTTCTTTTTTCAGAGGCATCCTGAAGATATCACAGCCCAATTGCTGCCTTGGTGTGCACACTGAGGGGCTTTTATACAGGAGCTGAACAGGAGGGACAGGTCTGAATCCTGATCACTAACTAATTTGAAACAGGCATTTCAGGTTGCTCTGGGTAGTGTGTGATTTTGCAGTGGGGAGGACAGGGAGGCACAAATGGAAGTGGGCACCAGCTCTGCCCTCGTGGGCAGCTCCATTCCTTGCACTGGTCGTGCTTTGCTGGCTCTCAGAAATGCACTCACCTTTCCAGTTCCTCACGTTGTCTAAGCTGGACAAGGAGATCCTCCTGGGCACCAGAGCAACCTGAGCCTGGCACATCCCTGTGTATCCATTCTGAGGGGCCCCACTGCCCACCTCATCCCCTCTCCTGTCTGAGAAGTGCGTTGGCTTGGGCGGCCGTGGTGGGGGTGTGTTGGACAGGATGTCCAGCTGGGTTATACTGTATGGTAGTGTGTTTTGGCTCTTGTCAGTCTGAAAGGTTGGTGTCTGCGGTGTCCCAAGCAGTGGAGAAGAGGAGGAAATGTCACTGGGTGGTCCACTAATGTCTGTGTTCCTGGACACAGTGCTGGGATTTGCCAAAGTGGGTCCATCTTGGTGCACAGTGCCAGTGCTGGATGGCTGTACAGGGCACAAGGAGGGCTGGGACTGCAAGGATTCAAGAAATACATCGTCCAGTGAGGTTTGCTCCAGAGATTTGTCTGAATTGGACCAGCTGTCACACCTGCAAAGAGAGAGTCAAGACCTGCTCTTTTCTTTTCACCTGCTTGCAAGTGAGCAAGTGCGCAACAAAAAACAAACAAACAAGCCCACAGTTTGTGACAAAATCTGTCCCTTCCCTATGACTGTGGAAGGATTCCCTGAGCTGGGCTGGAGGACAAGGCACTTAGTGGACCACCTTGGGCAGCAGCAGGCAGAAAGGGCATCTGGAAGGAGACTGTGACATCCCCAGCCACCCACCCTGAAAAGGAACAGGACCAACATATGACACTCAACTGCTAATCGGTAGTATGAAAAGCCCCTGTAAATTGGTTTAAGCTGATGGTCTCCTGTTGAGCTTGGGAGCCTGCCCTGAGAAGCTGGGCTCAAGGACCAGTTTGTCCCAGTTTCCCAGGGCATCACTGAGGAGGCAGAGAGTAGATCTGGCTCAATGCACCTGGCCAGCCCCAGACCTACCTGTTGTGGCTGAGTTTGCCCGACTCGCAGTTGGAGAGGAAGAGGTAGTCGGGGAGGAAGACCGATCCTGACTCGCTGGGGGTCTCCTCTGCAGCAGACATGTCCGCAGCAGTGTGGTCAACCAAGGAGGGATCAGCGATGTGGGAGGTGTGGGTAGAGGCAGCTGGCGATGGCTGCAGGGACGAGGTTGTGTGAGAAAGGCTCTCCACCGAACCTGCAATGGAAATGAATGGCCCTAGCTGAGGGATGGCTCTGACTCACGCTGGAACACTGCCTCTCCCGGCCATTGCCACCTTGCTGTTGTAGTAGGGATGTTTTGCCCTGGAGCAGTAGTGGGCCAAGGCAAAAACTGATTCTAGGGAGAGGAAAGCGTGATTTTGGAGCTGTTCTCCCTGCCCAGGCTGGACCAGTCAGATGCCAAATCAAGGGGCTGCAGGAGATGTAGGACCCCAGGAGCAAGGGGACTCCCGGCAACTATTTTTGAGGCCTTAAGGTGAATATTTAAGTTATTAATCTCTAACACTTCAAATTAATGGCTACAAGGAAAGAGACTGATTTCTTCCCGCTTCCTAGATCTCAGTGGACAAAGTTTTGCAACTCATAGAATAGCCAGATTTGTTGCACCTCTGAACCTCTCTGCAAACTCCTTGTGCCTCTCTAGGCAGAACATCAAAGCCACGAGAATTGTGGTGTACCTAGCTTGAGGCTAGCTCTGCTGAGAAAAGGGACATTTCTGGAGTCAGAAGGAACAGGAGAGACAGTACTCAATGACATAGAATCATAAAGGTTGAAAAAGACCTCTAAGATCATCTAGTCCAATCATCAACCCAACATTGCAATGATCACTAAACTATACTATTCAGCACCACATCTAAGCATTTTTGCATCTTGAGATACCCAAATTTTTTTGAGATGGTTTAGTAAGACAAGAATTTACAGTACACCAGGTGATGCACTCTTATCTGCCTATGTTTAAGCTCCTAACTGTAGCAAATGTGAGGTACACTCTGCTCAGGAGAAAAAGGGGGCCACCAACATCACTTCATCCTGCTCACTTAAACAGAGAAGAATTCAGAATTTCAGAGCTAAACTTACTGCAATGTAGTTTTTTGGATGCCTTTATGCTTTCATTCATGAAAGGAATAGAGATGTCAGCAACAACAATTTTCTCTTTGGTTCATACAATGACTTCTAAAATCAAGGTAATGATATTTCTAATGACGGACTGTTAGTAAGCTCAACCTTAAAGAGTTGTCACAGTCATTGTGAGACATATTGCCATTTCCACATTAAAATAGTGATTGTTACTCTCGTCAGAGTAGTAATCCATCAAATCTATGATGAATCTACTGGATTACAGTGTCCAGGGACTGAAGCTTCAGTTTAACTCTGAAGAAAATCTGCCTGGAACGAATAACCTACAGAAAGGAAACTGTCACCTCAGGCAGTTGATGATTTGGGTTAAACTTCAAACTTACAGACTTTTATCTGCTTTAAAGAAGTGTTTACCCACTGTAATTGCTTTCCTACTGTTCACACTTAATACCAATTCTCTCTGGAACCTTGAGTCTTGAGATTTCTCATTGAATCCAGTTTTTGGAGTTTAGTGTTTAGCTTCTTTCCTTAAATGTTTAGTTTTATATATTCTAATTTCTTTTAAACTTCTCTTGAAATTTAGGAGAAAACAGAAATGTATGATATACTTCACTCTACTAGTCAATAATTTCTATGTAACTCTACTGTGTTCCAGGGTAATTATCTAATCTTAGAATAACATTTTCCTTCTTTTGAATGTTTCCCCTACCTCTAATGATTTTCTTTCTAACATCTACTTATTTTTTTAAAAGAAACTGCAGCCAGAAGAGATTATAATAGGGGGGAAAAAAGGTTACTGTATAATCACCAAAAGTGTCTCTGATTTCTTATATACTTGTATGTTACTTGTAGATGTAAGGTTTACTTAAAAAAGCACCATGGGATGTGGAGCACTTCCTCACTAACGATGCCTAAGCCTTTCTTCAAAGGCATTACAGTCAAAGCTCAGTAACAAGTGTGACTAAGCTGAACTGGTTTTCTGCTGTGCAATATATATTTGATTCATCAAAACTGTAATTCTTTGTCCACATTCAGCTAATTCATCAAGTTTGTGAAAATTCTGGGTTCTAGTAGCTATGCAAAGAAAGCTGTTTTCTGCAAACTCTGATACCTCATAGCATTCAGAACAGCAGAACACCTATCATGCAAGGCTATTTCCAGCATATACTTTGGGTTTCTTGACAACAGCATTAACCTTTTGCCACACTGAAAACTGCCCATTTATTTCTACTTCTTGGTTTCTGTTTTAGCCATTTTCTAGTTCAATACAATACTTTACCTTTCAGCCAAAACTCTTTATTAGCTTTGGCAAGGGACTTCTTTAAATTATGTCCTCAGTATATTATCCACTATTTGAAAGACAAAATAGCATGTCTTTTTCTTAAACAAAGGCATACCAGCTTCTTCGTATCAAATACAGATGCTTGCAAAATACGTTTTTTTAATTAAAGCCTGCCATCTGTAAATTACTAAAAATTTCTCAATCAATTTATGAACATAACTGACATGAACGAGATCTTGAAAAGACAATCACAAAGCTGAGATTAGAGATGGATGCAGCTTAAAAATACAGATTAAAAAATCACCATAAAACGTGCCAACACCATAAATCACATTTATACAGCGACAGGGGTTCACCTGAACAAGTGTATGTGTGTTGAGAATTTGGTTCAGATGTCTGGAGATAACATAACCATGTTGCTAAGGTAACAAGCGGAGTTTTTTTGCTTGGAAGAAAACACGGGCATGTAAAACCAGTATAAAATTGACAAGTAATAACTTGATGCCCTAGGGCTTTCCTAGTTTATATATGGCACTTTGCTTAGAAACTTGATATTTGTCTTTCATTGTTGATTACCCCTTTCATCAGTTAGAGACTGTTTTAGAAACCAATTTTGTGAAATGGAGAAAAACCGAAGGATTCAGAAGAAAGTGCAAACTGGACTATGAGGGCAATGCTACGGTCCTACTCAGCTGCTGCATCCACGAGCGAAATGCTGAGTGTTTTTGTCTAAAGCATGGC